AATGTATCTATTTATTCTATAAAGTTTCAGGCTAACAGCAAAAGAGAATAGCAAACCTAGACTGCTGCCTAATGCACATTTACCTTATAAAACACATTACAATCCACAACTTTTTCCTTCAAACTACCTTATCTGAATCTGTCAGGAGGACTGATGTCCCCTTTTGCGCCAATCCCAATCCCGTGTCTCAGTCTTCTCTAAATCACATCAAGCATCTAGAAGATCATACTCCCAACTGAAACTATTGTTCAAAGTTCTTACACTACCATCTGATACCCATATTTAAACATATCTATCTAGGTACCTAAGTAACAAACCATCTCTCCACAGACTGTCCTTATATACTAGTTACAAGATGGTTTGAAAAATCAATAATAAATTATACATGCTGACAGGGGCTGGCTGGAGGGGAGGAAAATATTTTTCAGTGGGCATATCATTTCAATTTGAGATGATAAAATTAGGGAGATGGAGAGTAGCAACACCTACCTAGCAGTGTGAATGACACCATAAGCAGTTCATTGCTCACTGGAAAAGAACCTTAATTTTGTATTATTTAGCTGATCTGGGAAGAAATAAGATTTATGTACTAGCTATTTAGGCACAGTAGTTTTAGGGACACAGAAAGATGTTTTAAATTAAAATGAAAAAAAATGAACTTTTATGTCAAAAAAACTTAATAGTTAACATAAATATATTTTGCTTTCTAACAATGCAATCTTTTTTAAATGGAGAAAAGAGCCCAGGAAAGCAAAAGTGAAAGAAAATCACGAAGACAGTGTTTGTGCATGCAGTTTCCTAACATAAGACTATCAAGGCACAGCAGAAACAAAACAAAATAGTACAATAGTACTAAAAAGAAAAAAAATACATGAGCAACTATTTAGAATATGATGCTTCTTAAAATCTCAATATTAAAACGGCATATTGAATACAAATAACTTACAAGAGCTATATAAATTGATACCCATTTATATAAACAAATAAATACTTAGAAATTAGTGGGAAATTAAAAAAAAAAAAAAACACCTTGAGTCCACTAACAAAGGAGGAAAGCATGAAAAGGAAAAAAAGAAGGACAGTAAAAAGCAGAAGTGAAAAAATATTCATTAAAAGTACACAACCAAACATTATTTTTTAGATTACTAAATTTGAAAATATCTAAGTAATTCAAAGATGTAGTAGAATCTTAATTAAAATCCCCAAATGAGAACTCAAATGTTAGAAAAGTACAGAGAAAAAAGCACATGGACTAGAAATAAATTTGAAAAACTAAAAAAAAAAAAGTCTAAATCTATTGATATAGGATAAAAAACAAAGCACAGACAAAATATATAAAGCTATGAATCAGTTAATTTCAAATGTGAGGACACAAAATAAAACGACTAATGAGCATATCTGGTATAATAAGATTAACATGCAGGAAAAAAATGTAGTGACTTCCACACTTTCACTTTATACTATACAAAATTTCAGACAGGTTATGAATTTATTTTTATTTTTTTTAAGTTAAACTTTATTTTTTTCCATAATTTATGAATTTATTTTTAAGCTAGAAGATTATAGAACGCTTCTAGTAATGACAGGGAGCTTGTCTCTTGATTTCAAGCAATTTATCATGTTACCATGCAAAGTGTCTATAAGCCAGGCATGTCAGTGCACACCTATAATCCCAGCACTCAGGATAGGCAAGAGGATCCTTTGCAAGTCCAAAAACAGCCTGGGTTACACCATGAGCGCAAGGCCAGCCTAAATTGCACAGCAAGATCCTGTCTCAAAAGAGAAAAAAAATAAAGAAAGAAAGTGTCTGTAAAACACAAGGACCTGATAGATAGCTCAGTGGTCTAAGTGCCTACCTCCCTGGCAGTGCAAAAAAAAAAAAAAAAAAAAAAAAAAAAAAAAAAAAAAAAAAAAAAAAAAAAAAAAAAAAAAAAAAAAAAAAAAAAAAAAAAAAAGGGCCAGCCAAAAAGTCTCTGCTTAGCCGGGTTTGATCCTGGCATTGCAGCACTGGCCTAACCCCAGCCCCAGCCCCTCCCCCAGGGGTGCACTGAGATAGTGATTGAGCCTAGGTGTGGTGGTGTGTGCCTGTAATCCCAGCTCTTGGGAGACTGAACATAGGCGGATCACTACAAGTCTGATCTACATAGTGAGATCTTGTAGACCCATACTAAAATACAAAAAAAAGTCCAGAATTGCATACATTAAATATGTGCGAAGTATTTACTGCTACCTTACCTATTAATGATCTCACAATCCCAACAATCCCCCTCTGAAAAAGATACCATTGTATGTGGTAAACTAGAAAAGTAAGGCCAGAAACAAGTTACTTACCACTGTGAAATGGCTCAGTGGTCAGAGTCAGAATTTGAACCTGATCTCATTTCACAGTGCACAGTCTCAACCACTAAATTTTTTGCTTCTTTCCTCTATACTCTGTCTGTTACTCTTGTCTCATTGCTGGGACAAATGCCGGACACTCAAAATGAAGGAAGGAAAGTTTTACTTAGCTCACAGTTACTAGAGGTTTCAATCCATGCTCAGGTGGCTCCAAGGCAGAGCAGCACATGGCAGTGCGCAGCATTTCAGGCAGCAGCAAAAAACAAAAGCACAAAAGGAGTGGTAGCAACTCAGGCAGCTAGGTAGTCCCCTCTCCTTACATTGTAAGGCAAATTACCTGCCCCAGGGCAGAAGCAGCAACCACACCCACATTAAACAATCACAAACTCCAGAAGTGATTGCATGAGGCTGGGGGGGGGGGGGGGGACAACTAGACACAAACCATAACAACCACAAAATTTGGTCAACTGTTCAGTCTACAAATCTAAATTTATTACACATAAATTACCAAAATATAGGACAATGCACAATTAGGAAAAGTGTATGTGTGCTGGGGATGGACCCCAATGTCTCATACATGTAAAGCATGCACTGTACCACTAAGCTTCAGCCAGAGACCTACGAATGTACTTGATAGTGTTTCGAGGGTTCAGAGAAGCTTGATATTAAAAGGGATAAGATGGCTCAGTAGAATAAGTGCTTGCCTGGCAAGTGCAAGAGCCTGAGTTCAATCCCCGGTTCCGCCAAGAAAAATAAAAAAATTAAAAATAAAAAAAGGGGATAAGCAGAGGCTCCATGAGAAATGACACCTAAATTGGTTCCAAAAAAAAAAATAAGTTACAAAGATAATGAGAGGGGAAAATATCCACACAAAAGAATAAAAGAACAAAAACAGTCACACATAGTGGCCCATAGCTGTAACCCTAGAACACTGGGAATCTGAGGCAGGAGAACTGCAAACTCAAACCCAGCCCAAGAAACTTAGAGACTTGTGGAGACGCTGTCTCAAAATCAGAAGGACTTGCTACGGCTATAGCTCAGTGGCACAGGTGCTCTCCTGACAAGTGCAAGGTCCTGAGTTCAATTCCTGGTACAAAAAAAGAAAAAGAAAATTAAAAGCACTAGGTAAAAGCCCTAGATTCAATTCCCAGCACTGGGGGCGGGACAATAAGGTAGAGAAGCACTGGCAACTCAAGTAACTTGAGTTGAAATGAATGGGAAATAGGAAGAAGTAAATGGCAAATAAATAACCTAGAGGACTAAGAGACTGAACTCACTTAAGGGAGTAAAGTGAACACAGCTGTTACATGGTAACTGCTACAAAAATTAGATATAAAAAGAGATGAAAGTGGAAAGAAATGCCAGAACACCAATCTGTAACTCCAGGCAAGGTAAGGAATATCTTAAGCACAGGCCAAATGAAAATGGAAAAAGAGGAATGGATATGTAGCACATAGTAGTTATTCAAATGCTAATTAAATTAATGGACTAAAGCAGAAAAAACAAGACTTATTAATATACTGACATGCAGAGATAACAATGGGACTAGTGAGGTCATATCGGAGACAGTCTTTGGCAGTCATATGGGGAAGTGTACTAGGGATCCTAAAAGCTAATGTGAAACGGTAGACAGGCCCTGAAGAGAAGACAAGCTAGCTGCCCCTGCCTAATGGCTCACAGGCTGAAGAATTAAGGAGATTCTGTAGTCAACATTTTGAGAAGGAATGCGAAGAGTAAAAGAATTTAGTAACAAAATAAATATGGAGGTAACCCTGAGGTTTTAAGCACAATGTAAATATCATTAACAGCAACAGGGAACAAAGTGAAAGTAGGTTTGAAGCAAAAAGAGGTATGATTTCAGGTTTCTGTATGGTGAGATTAAGGACTATATATTATGAACTCTAAACATGATGTTGTGTCCACAGGGCTGGATAAGAATGAGAACTGAAAATCAGATTTCCCGCTTATGAAGACGTTTGAAAGTTCTATACTAAAAGAAAAAGTATTACAGAAAAAAAAAAAAAAAAAGTAAGGAAAGTTTAAGGAACATCAACAATCACGAGAAAAGCAACAAAGAAGGTACCGCGAGATGGTTAAGATCATCACTTAGAAGAATCAAGTGCAATCCAACAGTGCTTCCTACTCTTTTTCATATGAAGTATACAAATAAGACAATACTATTTGTGGCACAAGACAGCAAATAAGACTATTGATGGTTGAATGTTATTAGCTCAGGAGTACAGATCACATGTGCACCTGGTAATTCATTTCTTTACTATGTGGAAAGCTCTATAATACATGCCAAAAGTTTAAGATTATATTTCCTTAATTTGTCTCTTTCAATAGTCAATAATCAAGTTGGGTGGAATACTGTAGAAATGACAAAAAACTCAGAGATAGATAACCACCAAATTTGGTAAGTGAGGAAACAATAATGGCTAAAACCTAATATTTCATTTAAAAAAATAATAATAAAATGTGGTGATGAGTAAAGTACCAACCCTTTACCAATCATGTCAATGCTGATTACAAGGGTTAACCTAAATGGGAGGATTCTTCAAAGCGTTCTTGTAAAAACATTCCCCTTTTAAACTAAATTGTAAATATAATATGCTTTATCTCCTTATTCTTTTTCTTCATCCTTTGAAACTTAGAACACTTACCCAGTGCGAGATTGGCCAACCTTATCACAAATATCCAGAATGAGGCCCCAGTCCTCAGCAGTGTTCATCTCACTGGTTGCTTTCTCTGCAGATTGTAAAAGTAATTGCAAAATGTTATTTTTCAGGTCCTTACAGTACATGTAACCATACTCATATCATAAATAAATAGTTTATAAAACTTCAACAAAAACCAAAATAGCAATGAATAAATAAATAAATAAATAAATAGTTGCCAGCACTCCAGTCAATAAGATCTTCATATCCATCTTTAGCCCTCACAGGAAAACATATTTTTTGTCACAAAGGGGAACATTCATAAGTGCCATCAATCAATATTTATTCTTTAGGGGGCCGGGGAGATGGCTCAGTAGAATAAGTGCTTCCCTGGCAAGTAGAAGGCCTGATTTCAATCCCCAGTTCCACCAAAATAAAATTATTCTTTAGACTATTTCTACTGGTGAACTATTAATTTTAGTTTTGTGATTTTTATTATATTACACAATGAGTGCTTAACAGAACAAATATCACAAAAGTAAGGTATATTTTAAATATTTGTTATTTATAAAAATGCATAAAAATTTACAACATCAACTGGCTTATGGTATACAAAGTCTAAAACCCTACAACAAAAATAAATTCCTGTATGAACCCAGTAAAAATATCAATAACACTCCACCAAAATTTTTTTTCTATTTCAAATATCACACCTAAATAAGAAAATAAGATATGAATAAAGTATCAATATGTAATACATGCTTAGAATAGACATAAACATTTTCACAGCAGCTGTGCTTGCTTGTAAAACCTAAAAGATAACATAAGAAATGTTTCCGTGTGAACTGCAACAAAAATACCAGTACCCCTCTACAAAATAACCTTTACTTCAATTATCACACTTAAATAAGAAAATAAGATGCCAGTAAAATAAAATATTAAATGTATAGTGGGTGCTTAGAATAGACATCAACATTTTCACATCAGCTTGCTTACAAACCTAAGATATAACATCAGAAATAAAAACCTATGATAGCTACAATGTAAACATAAAGTCTACCACAGAAATAATCTTTGCTTTAACTTTCACACCTAAGGCAGTCTTTACACGTGACAACTGTATGTTCCATGCACACATCTTTCTTTTACTGATAGCACATGTGCTCATCTTTCTTTTCCTATGTGGTAGGCCATTCTTGTCACCTCTTTTCTCTTTCTCTTTTTTTTTCGAGATCTTTCTGTGTTATACAATATGCACTTAGCAGAGAAATAGTAAAATATAAAATGTGCAATGAGTGCTTAAAATAAACATCAACATTTTCACATCAACTGTTGACTTGCTTACAAAACCTAACATAACTTTAGAAATAAAAACCTGTATGAACTACAACAAAAACACCAACAGAACTCTACAACAAAATTTCAACTGTCACACCCATGAAAACTGTATCATTTACATTGACAGCATGTATGTTTTGTTTTCCTGTCCTTTGCTGTAGGGCAGTTAACATCTTTTTTGGTTTTCTTTTTTGGATTTTGGGATGTTGCGCCTACCTGTTCACCTGTCAGCAAACCACCATATTCCACATTTTTGTGTAGTTCTTTGGACAGAAACATTTTGGTTTTCTTCAGCTGTAAATGATCTCTTATGAGTTCTAGTCCCAATCCTCAAGGAAATTTCTGAGATATCTTGTTGAGATATCAGACTTGTTATTGTCTTTGGAAACTATTAAACTATACCACACATGCTTAGGATCAAGTAAAACACAACCATTGGCCAATGCTTTGTATTTCTAATGACATCATAATTGCTGCATAACTAATCAACAACATCTCACTTTTACTTCTGCTGTAGGAAGTTTCTGTCTCAGACTTTGGTTTTGTTGAAGTTTCCCTATTAATTTAAACATCATGGTACAAATGTTGACATCAGCAGAACTAGTTTATTTTTCTTTTCCATATATAAGTCCAATATAAAACTTTCTGAAATCCAAAGACTGTATTATATAAGTCTCTGTTTTGAAATTGCAACGCTTGGAGTTTTTGCTTTGTTCCTGCATATAGCTCCTGTGCTGGTCAATTTTTGCTCCATTTGCAAATGTAACATTAAATTGGAAACAAGAAACCAACTGTCTAATGTCACATTCTGATTCGTTTGGGAGATGGAAGCAACAAGTCTGTTCACAACATCATTCAGTTCATTACTATCTGAATAAGGATGTGATGGCTGAGTTCCAGGATAAATTTGTAAACTGAAAGCATAAGAATTCTTCGCATCTATAGTAGCATTTTTATGCTATATTTGGACCCACTGCTCTCTCCTAAGTCTTTCACATTCCTGCAATTACCATGAGAAATTCCTGCTAAGTACAGCAGACTGTCAGTTCAGCTAATAAGGTATCATAATACATGTATTGTTGAATGTGACAAGTGGTGCATAAAATACTTCTTTACTTTGTATCTCAGCCTTTGTGTATTTCACAGCATCTTGTGCTATTTCCAACATTGAGGGGCAGTGCTGGAATTCTGTCCAATACACTTCACCCCTCAAAGACCCTCACTATATTTCTGAATCTAGTTCTAACTGCTGTTTTCTTTGTCACCTGAAGAAAGTCAGCATTCCCTGTGTCCATAGGGGTTGATTTTTGCTCCATTTCACTGTCACAGGCAGTATGGCTAGTGTGGCCAACATCGATCCTTATCATCATCATCATTCATCCACCCACATCACTCATGTTATGAAGACATATATTTTACCATAAGGGATCACCTTAATCATGCATGCATGAATAAATCTAATTCTGACCTCCTTCCAAAACTTGCAAATCTGATTTTTTTATGTGCCACTATACTAAACTGGGCTACTTCTACCAGAAAAATCTAAAGAAAACTTTTTTAAAAAATAAATCCTTCTCTCTTGTATAAGAACTCAAAAGAAGCTATCGCTTCTTGGCCTTTTGGATAAGATCAAGTGTAGAAATACAAATAGAAAGGTATAATACAAATAAAAGGAAAGCAGGATCTCAAGGACTAACTAACCAAGAAAGGAAAAGGAGAAGAGCTAGGAAACATGAATAAGTCAAGCCATACAGTTATATGTAAAAGATGGGCAAGGCAAGGATCCTGAGAATCTTCAGAAGATTTTTTAATCTAGCAGTAAATTAGAAAGATTCTCACCTTGACTAACTATATATACTGATACCTGTGAACTAAGCAACTGCACTGCAGATGGTAATTTGTAATAGTAGTTTCATGCTTGGAGTACCTGTCATTCTGGTTTTCTGAATATGGGCTCCTTGTCATGACATGTCAGTTGCTGCTATGATGTCTCTCGGGTAGATGGTTGTTCAAGAAGAAGGGGGTGGTGAATGAAAGCAAGAGACAGGAAAAGGAATAATGTGGGACTGTCTTGCTTCAAGGTTGTATATGGTGAGATTTTTGGACTTATGTGTACAAATAAGAAGTATGTAATTCTTTATGCCTATTTAAAAATATATTCTAATTTTTAAATGTCTTTTATCACATTCTGTAGGGACTTAAAGTTCAACATATCAATACTCAATGAAAAATACCTGTTCCATATTATGCCTAAGATGTTTGATATGCAGATAGTGAGGTTAAGCTTAACAGCCTAAGTTGTATGGTAATAACAATAAGCTTGTCTTCTGGATGGTTAACAACCAAAGTTTGCAGTCCAAAATTAGAGAAAAGGGAGGGCCACAAGGAAAGCCAACATTTTGGCCCTAGTCTTCTAAGGTCAATTAAGACTCAGGACATATGAGACCCTGTACTCTAATGTCATGTAACTCAGTAGTGTTCCAAATTTTCTGATCAAGGAGATTATGGATCCAAAGAAGAAAGTGAGCGATGATGTAGAGAGTCACGTGGAGAGAAAACATTTTCTCAGGCTTTCACAGAGAGCACATTGGTTAAGCAATGGCTGTGACTCATCCACATGGCTGACACTGACAAAGGTTCTACAATCTGAGGTACAGGATCTCAGGATAAATCCTGAGGGGATTTCACTGACCTTGTCAGACCCAAAAGCTACAACTCTTGTTGCATTGGTCCTGCTTTACTTTGGTCTTAACCATCCAGCAGAAAAGTATAAAAACGAAATAGAAGAAGTAAAGCCATGCTGTTATGTTGAGCTATAGGGGACTCAGGTCAACAATTTCTGACATCGCCAGTCAAGCGGAAGACCCAATACTATTATGGGCTACTGGACTCCTTTAGAATATTTTGCTGAGTTTACACACCTATAATATTCAAATAACGGAACTTAACAAAAAAAAAGGGGATACAGATGAATGTCCATTTTGTATCTGTGTATTCATAGTGGTTAGGATACATATATAGTTACATTCTCTTAATGAATAGAGTGATTTGTTCTAATGATGCTTGTAAATAGGATATCATGTCTGCATCTTGTACAGCGATTAACCACTAGGAAGAATGTATGCAATGTGTGAATTATTGAAACTGTCCTACCAATTTGATTTGAAAAAAAGAAAAAACAAATCCTAGAGTGGTGTGGCTGCATTATACCCCGTGATGCTCAGGTAGGGGTACACACATGTAAGAACTCTACCCAGAGTATCTTATGTGTGTAAATCCCAGCTTGACACTTTTACACATACCTTACCTTTTGTTATACTAAGTGGATAAATATAAAGATTGCTTCCTTTCTCCCTCAGAGAAATTAATGAGATGCACATCTGGATACTATTATGTTAAAGTAAAAATTTACAGTAGAAAAGTAAGGGATGAGTGTGGAACCCAGTGTTATGCTCCACTAAAGGGGAAAAGAGCACAGTATCACCTATCACAATTCTCCTTCATCACTTCAGTTTTTCTTTGATTTTTCTTAAAGAAAAAGTTATATACAGTTCTACTCTCTGCAAAAGAAATATTTTCATTATGAAAAAAGTTTCTCTATTTGCCAATGAAGTGACATAGGCTAGGCAAAGACCCCTACCAAAATGTTTTGGGCAATTAATTATTTAGCTAGAATTGCTTATATGGTTGGGGAGAGAAGATTGAAAGAAAGATATATCAAGCTTTGAATATTTTTCCTTAAATAAAAACTTA